AATTAATATTTTTTAAAATAAATATTATGTGAGAGCCTTGGACTATGAAAGGATTTGGAAAGCTTTGCTCCACCAAAAGTAAGTGAATGTTCCTACCACCTTGTCACAGGGTGAGACTAGCTCCGATGGCACTTGTCTCAGAGGCAGAATCTAGCTCGACCTCGTGCGGCACTTCGCTCAGAATTAACCTCGTAAACCCGAACCAAGTCAGCCTTCCCAAACACTTGGCGTGGCCCTCGTACTGGGCTTGAGGTTAGCAACACAAACACGAAGATAGGAAGTTAGGAGAAGAAGAGAATTTATTAAGATCGCAAGGAAGTGTACAAAAGCATGAATACACAGCCCCTCTATGCACTCACTCACCTAGCAGCTCACTCTCTATGGTCTGCCCCTCTTCTATTAGCCCTCCCTATTTATAGAAGAGGTTTGGCCCAAGTCCCTCTGCAAATGAGGTCTTTAGAACACTCCACAAATTTCCCTCATATTTACAATTTCCAGAAGCTTCTCCACTCTCCCTCCTAGCCTAAGCCTAAATTATTCTAGAACCTCCTATTCTAGAATTATGAACAAGGCCCCAGGAGTTTCCCAGGTCAGGCTTGGCCCATTAAGCCCATCCAGACCCCTGTCTGGAACCATCTCTGCGTACCCAACAACTTTTAGAATTTTTTAGGCCGCTTCCGTGCACGCCCGCATGTATCGACCGCGACTCTGTACTACGGCCTTGGCATGGACACTGACAACTCATGCCAAGCTCGCCTCTTGGGCATTCCATGTCGTGCTCTCGCCCGCGTTTGTGCCAATGCTCACGCACCCTGAGTGTCATGGCTGCTGCCCTATGCCACGATGACCTTGACTTGGGCCCCCCCGAAGTCGCGTGCCGTGACAAACTTCTCCGAGACAGACATCTACAAAAGTCAATGTATCAGTTCGTCGTATATTAAATGCAAATTCTGATCTAAGTTGCTGGCTCACGCGCCCTTGAGTGTGTGGCTGCTGCCCTGTGCCACGATGACCTTGACTTGGACTTCCGAACTCGCGTGCCGTGACAAACTTCTCCGAGATAGACATGTACAAAAGTCAATGTATCAGTTCGTCGTATATTAAAGGCAAATTCTGATCTAAGTTGCTGTCTCATTCAAGACCGCGCGGCAGGCACAGCCCCACACACATGACTTCGATTTAATGTAATTAATTTGGTGATTTTTTTTTTTAGTAAATATCATTTAATACAATTATTTACATATATTTTATAATTATTTTTACTACTATATATATTAAATAAAGATTTATTTAAATAATTATTAATTAAAAAATGTAAATTTTTATTATATCAATTAAT